GGCGCATCCCAGAGTGGGCCCAGTTGGTTGCGCGCGCTTCAGCTACGGCTATCTTGATAACGAATCTTAATTCAGGAAGAATCAAGAGGGTTTCTGAAAGAGTTCATGTTAAATTACAGAGAGGAGTACACTATTCAACAAGAAACGCAGCCTTCAGCGTCAAATTCACAAGCATGTAACTTTAAAGGAATCTTGCGCGGAAAATTCTTGCACTCTTTCCTAACATGAATATGTCAGTTGTGATCACTGGAAATAGCACACAAAGTTTCACGCATGAAGATTCGGTTTCTGAAGAGAAACAAACGTACAAAAACTACACGTTATGGACCATCGAAGGACCAGGAGGCAGAGCCAGGCGAGGCATGGAAACGGCGTTTGGCCGGCTACGTACCAGGCGACGCAATGAGAGAATCGGGTTAAAGCGCGCGATTTCGGAGAGTGGAGACAAATCGATCGATGGAATAGGATGGAGTAGAAGTGTAAGATGTGAATGCAACGAAGCAGAAAGGCCAGAAAGAGCTTCTAGTGAATGCACTCCAAGAACCAAGTTTGAGCATCCCCGTCGCCAGCATTCGTGAAAGACGTCCGTGGGCAATTCGAACGCGTAGCAGCCTTTTCGAGTTTTCGAATTTCTAATCAAAACGAAAGCAATACTTCAGTTCTTTTCACTATTATCGTGGATAATGAGTCTCAAGCCAGTGATTTATGGCTGAAATAGAATCATGATTTTTCCGCGCAAGATTCCTTTAAGTTGAGGACCCGCTAAACAATTTTACACTTTTTGCAGAGAGAAAAGCACGAGGATTTTGAATCTGCTCCTACTTCAGTATGTAATCGCTCCTGCAAGGAGCTATAGTCGTTGGGATAGTGCTAATGTAGCGAAAAAGTACCTTTCGGCGGTACTCGGGCAAAAATCCTCAACGTGGCCATTTTTTAAATAGTGAACGTATTTAGCAGTTTTAGTTGCCTATAGAAAGAGCAAATCTTCTAGTTTATGATGACGTATTAACTTTCCAGATTGCATGAGTTTGAACGGAGTTATGGCTTTGGAAAGCGTAAAAACTCGCACTCATCACGAATTTTCCTCGTTAATTTTGCAAAAATCCTCAACGTGGCCATTTTTTGAGTACTGGACGTATGAAGCTGCTTTAGCGACCGTTTGATAGAGAAAATCTTCTAGTTTTGTATGACGTATCAACTTTTTGAATTTGACGAAATGAAGCAAGTTATTGCTCCGGAAAGTGTAAAAACTCGTGCTCGTCTCGAATTTTCCTCGTTATTTGATCTAAATTTGTTATTTCTTATAACTTCCTGTAATTTCAGTACTGATTAGAAAAAGCTCTTCACAAAACTCCCAAATCAGCTTTCAGATTGAAAATTCGTTAACTTTGAAGAAAGTTATAATCATTTGAATATTTGTTCAAATTTCAATAGTAAATAAGCTGCTCCACGGTCAACGCCAAAGTCCAGTCAACACACAGCTGACGAAGCTCTCGGCGAAGACGTGTAAATTGAGAACCATAATCTGTGTAGTACTAGAATTTGGTAAGTCTTGTGGAGGAAATAAACAAAGAAGAGGTGTTGTCATAGTACGCCATTTCTAGTGACTAGTTTGACGTTTTTTGCTCCGTTTCTCGTTTGCTCGTTTGACAGGACTCGTCATTAATGATCATTCTTTGACTTTTTCACTTTTATACTTTTTAAACGAGTTTGTGGACGATGGGGGTAGCAGGGCTTTTTTATGAGCAGTTTTGGTGGAGAATTAAACAACTTTTTCATAGTTCGGCTTTTAAAGAGGGTTGTTTCATGGACTTCGGCCTTCGGCAGAGGAGGGGGGGGGGTCGTATTTCCGAATTTTCCTCGACGCCTCGCTTGACCCTGCTCGTTGTCCACATTTCATAAAGGAATTCGACTCTTTTGACAGCACACGGACACCATCCAGGAAAGAGAGGAAAATAATAGAGAGCTTCATCTAATACAATTTGCGTGACGCCATGCACGGAAAGCTCACTGTCGACTTTGAAGAGGAGAATTCTGTAGAGGAGAACCACATTGATTCCCTTTGATCTCCTGAACACGACGACGGTGCTCCGCAAGATCTTTGAAGCTTTACACTAATATATGCGTTGAAAATTTTCCGGACTATAGAAACGAAATTATCATTGTGTAAGTCACAGTAGAACTCCCTTCTAGAAACTAGCTCAGGCAGTACAGGCTTACTAGAGGTTAGAATAGTTGAAAGTGACACGCGAAACTGATCTGCAAACGTTTAAAACAAATTTTAAGACAAATAAAAACGCAACTCGTGCACCAAGGATTCGAACATTGGTGCTGCTTCCAGCGAGCCAGGTCCCTCACCGGCTGCGTCACTGTGGCACGACCCCATTGCTGTTGGGGGCAGGGTCAGTCCTATCGTTGTTACTTTTTCAAAAATTTTTACGACCCCCCTCCCCCAAGGTGGACTTGGTACGACCCCCTTTTCGACACCTCGACCACCATATTCCTCTCTATAGTATTTAATTCTGGTACCACTCAAGAAAACTGAATACCATTCAGAAGCCGCGGTATTATTAGGTTATATGACAAACTATGTTGTTTTTTAGTTGAAATTAATGAATTCCAGGCTTGCGGATAGGAGGTCGAGTCAACGAAAATCAAGTAACCCGGCTAGTAATTCAAAATTTACTTCCTACTAGGAGAAAACAATTAGTTACTGCTCATTACTTGACATTATCTTTTGAAATCATTCCGCTATTGCGTTGCTGAACACTTCCTGGCGTTTTCCTTTCAAGTGTAATCCTCCCTCGAGGCTTACTGCTAAGCATTAGTGGCTTTTTGAACCGGAATTCTTCCTCTCGAACCCCACTTTTTTGCATCAGTTCATAGATAATTCATAATCCATATGATCTTTTTTTATTCAGCATTTGATATTTTCGTTCTAAGTTATTTTAAAGGTGCGCTGTGCCGCATATTTTAAAAAATTCTAACGATCTTCTCTCCTGATAGTGCCTCGACATGGCCCATGATCCATCACCACAATCACCACCATAATCCTTGGAACGTCTTTTGTGTGATCCCTCAAAGGAACTCTTCCCGAGAAAAAATCATGATTCTATCCTGCCCATAATCACTGGCTTGAGACCCATCGTTCACGATAAGAATGAAAAGAACAAAAAATTGCATTTGTTTTGGTAAACAATTCGAAAAACCGGAAGGACTGCTACGCGTTCAAATTCCCGCCGGACATCTGTCACAAATGCTGGCGGCGGGAACGCTTCCACTTGGTTCACGGAGTGCTGTCACTAGAAACTCTTTTTGGCCTTTTGACTTATTGCACTAACATCTCACACTTCTGCTGTATTCAATTCTATAGACCGTTTCGTCTCGGTTCTCGAAATATTTCCTATTTTGGTTTTCCGAATGTTTGACTTAATCCTTGCAATGCATCGCCTGATACGCGGGTGCCCTAGGATGCACTTCTTCCCGTGCCCCACGTTTGGCGCCGCGCGACCTACATATCTTCGGTCGTCGATAGAGTGTGGCTTTCGTGAGCTTGTTTTTCTTCGGAAACTGAAGGGAGGGGTGTCAATCTGAGCAAATGCTCCAATTTTCTCCATTCTACGCATTCTTACTGAAGTTGTGCTATATCATCCAAATCCCCCTCACAACAATCTACAATACCACCTCTAATTCCACCACCACCATTCCTTCTGTGAATCTTTAACACAATATACTTGTAACCATTCCAACATATCAGAGGCCAAATCAGACTTTCTCCTTTGGAATTACCTCCAAATAAAACTCTCCTCGCTTAACTTGTTCCAGCGAACGGTTGACCTGGTTGAACGCTTCTTTTGAATTTTCCATTAGTTTTCAGGTGCCTCGGCGGTACAAAATATTCAGGTCTAGCCTCAGCGAGACGGTGATGATCGGCTTCGAGAAAATTCAAAAAAAAGACTTTTTAGGTCGAATAGCGTGATTGCAACACTGATTGAATTTGCATGGAGGAAGTTATAGATAACTGCCTGTTCTTCTAAATTTTGCCGACTGTAACTCCCACTTCACTAGCCTGAAGCTCAGCCCACTCGCACCGAGTGATTGAAATAAACAACTTTCATAGAGCAGGTCAATCCTTTCTGATCGGTGCATAGGATTATAAATAAGCTGCGAAATGTGTGATAAACTTACACTCGAAAAATATAATACTAAGCGCGAGGCTTCAAGCAAGGAGGAAATCGCTTTAAGAAACCTTAAAACCTCTTCATTTAAAAGGTTATATCTTTCTTCAGAAGCAGTCTCATGAGATGGGATACAAAAATTTAAAAACTTCAAATTGTTTTCTTTCTAAAAAGTTTTTGAAATGTTGCAAATGTTCAATTCTTCAAAAAATCGTCCCGTTGTTCCGTTTTTTGTGCACACGCGAGTTTTCGACATTCAAACATTCATAACTTTCTTCATATCAACTTTTTGCAAATGTCTAAGGCTAATTAGAAACTAGAAGATTAGCGCTTTCGAAAAAGCAAATTTTCCAGCGATCATTTTTTCAAAAATAGTCCCGTTGTTCCGTTTTTGGGGGTTTGTGGTCCGATTTTTGAGAAGGCGCGAGTTTTCGACATTCAAACGTTCATAACTTTCTTCATATCAACTTTTTGCAGATGTTAAGGCTAATTAGAAACTAGAAGATTAGCGCTTTCGAAAAAGTACCTGATTTTTCCAAAGATCATTTCTCAAAAATAGTCCCGTTGTTCCGTTTTTGGGGGTTTGTGGTCCGATTTTTGAGAAGGCGCGAGTTTTCGACATTCAAACGTTCATAACTTTCTTCATATCAACTTTTTGCAGATTCTAAGGCTAATTAGAAACTAGAAGATTACTGCCGGAATAAGTGCTAAAACTTCATTTGAGACCAGCTGGTCACTGTGTGCCTGCAATGGCACTACAATAGCTGTATTCTTATAAATGTAGACTTCTTTATTTATTGAATTCAGTCGATGTTCACTTACTTTTCCTTCGCTCGAGTAGTTATTGCAACTTGGTCGGTCATGTTTCCGTAGCCGAGCTTCTTCAAATGGGTCAGAAAATCGTCTCGAAATGGGCTGTTGGCTGGTGGCATCTTTTTGCCTCGAAACTCCCACACACGCTTGAGCCGTTCTTCGCTGCATAATACGCAGTAACCCATTTTCTGAAGACAAAAACACGTGTAATACATAATGATGCAAATAAGTGGGTCACTATTGTGAAACTTGTAGAGCCGGAAATTGTTAGCATGTGATCACTCACCACTTGGCAAAC